GCCCCCCCCCCCCCCCCCCCCCCCAATGACCTTGACCTTGACATATGTTGTCACCCCGAGTGACTTCCAACAAATTTTAGCCGTCGCTCGTTATTCGTTAAAAAGTTATTAACAAAAGAAGTTTGAAAAATGATATCTCTTTTCTACTATACAAAACAGAAATTTTCTGCTTTAATACTCTTGAATAATCGCAGCGGCCATGTTGGAATCGTGACGTCAGAAGCAAGGAATGACGCGTTAATTTATGCTGCAAGCCATTTGTAAATAAAGACAATTTGGATAAATCTAAATGATGAGATTGCTTTAAAATACCTGTAAAAATGGGCAAAAACTTTCCTTTTCTCCCTTAATAGTCAGTAAATAGTCGTAAAAGGCAGATAAATTGAGCTTAATTTCGGGCAGAAACATACGGTTTGAACAACTGCGTTGAAATGAATGAAATATACGCTTTTGTATATAAAATTCCAGGATAACTATAGTTTCTGCCCATTTTTCGGACTTTCATAAGTACGAGACACGTCACATTTTCATAATTAAACAAATAATTACGAAATGTAACTAGGGTTGCCATCCGTCCTCTTTTCCCCGGACATCGTCTTCTTTTTTATGACGTCCGGGGACGTCCGGGGGGATTTTCGAAAGGCGTCCGGGATAATCATCCCGGAGAGTCCGGGGTTTTATATAAAAAGGAAATATTTTTTGACTGGATGGCAAAAAAAACTTTGGCGTGTAAGTGTAGTGTTGAATTGTATGTTGTATTGTACATTAAAGATTGGCAGCCCTGTAGGACGTTGAGAATAAAATTTATCCGCATATAGTGTAATGCCAGCTGCACACTAGCGCGATGTTCATCGCACGCGACACGCGATATTCAATGAGCGTACAGCTTTAGAATGAGAACATCGGTAAAACTGTACGCTCATTGGATATCGCGTGTCGCGCTGGTCGCGCGCGACCTGTAAGATGTTATACTGTAAACATGATAATAATGTTATATTGTAATATGATAATAAAGAAGTGATAGTATTGTGCAATTTGTAAGAAGCAATTAAATATATGTACTTATAGCGTTTTCAGCCCGGTTGGGTTTGCACCAACCTGGGTTGGAT